CCACCGGCTCATAACTCGATCACCTAGTGCCACTCGATGCAACCTCACGATGCAATCGCACTAGAATCGCTCACTCACACAATCGAATGATCACTATCAAGTATATGTGTGATGGAGGGCTCCCAAGCACTCACAAGCATGGACACTAAGTCCCTTGAGGTGCTCAAGACCAGCCATGGCCGAGGGCCACTTCTATTTATAGCCCCAAGGGCTAAACTAGCCGTTACCCCTTCATCGGGCAACGGTCGGGCCGACCGGACGCTCCAAATCGATCGACCGAAGCGGACCTCGGCGTTCGGTCATGCGATGCACGCCACGTGTCCCTCCTTCAAACGCTGCTTCACCGGATCTCAACGGTCATCTGCCGACGACGCTCCAAGATGAACCGACGGACGCGAAGAACCCAAAGGCGTCGGTCGTTTCCAATAATAGAATAGACCTCGACCGGACGCGTCCGGTCACACTTGATCGGACGCAGCACCAGTCCGGTCACCTCACACACTCCAGCCATTCACATCAGACGTCGGCCGATCGGACACACCTCGCCAAATGTCTCGGTGCATTCAGATCCAGCGTCCGGTCGGTTGACCGACGCCAAAGATCTTCGCGACTAACTCGTTTTCACTTCTAACTTCATCACCCTTGCTCCAATGTGCTAACCACAAGAACTTGCAACCGGCGCAATAGAAAATAGGCATTCTATTTTCCCGAAAGCGCCGAATGTGTGTATGTGTGTTAGCATTTTCACAATCATTTCCCAAAGGATGTTAGCCACTGCAAACACCACCTCCTTTGTAAATGTGCCAACACCACCAAGTGTACACCACCATGTGTATGTGTGTTAGCATTTTCACAATCATTTCCCAAAGGATGTTAGCCACTCAACTTGCCACGCCACTCGATCCTAGCGACAATGCAAAGTTAGATCACTCGAGTGGCACTAGATGACCGATATGCAAACAAGTTTGCCCCTCTTGATAGTACGGCCATCTATCCTAAACCCAGTCATAAACTTCTCTACACACCTATGACCGGTGAAATGAAATGCCCTAGGTTATACCTTTGCCTTGCGCATTCCATTCCATCTCCTTCAATGTCGATGCAACACATGCACCAACACGATCAACAATGATATGATCCACTTCATATCATCACATGATCATATTGGTTCATCTATCTTGACTCTACTTGCTCTTCACCGTTGCTATCGTCCATCGGCGCCAAGTCTTGCTCAAGCTTCACCGCCACACGGTCCATCACTCCAAAGCCTTTGACTTGCCCTTCACGCTTGCAACCGGTCCATCAAGCCAAGTCTTGTCTTGATCTTCTCCACCTTGATCACATGACTCAATGTCATGTCTCATGTGCAATAAGCTCCTTCATCATCACATGTGTGAGCTTTGCAACATCTCCAAGCCATTTTCACCTCCATGGCATATGTTGCTCATACACATGTACCTGTGGACTAATCACCTGTGTATCTCACATAAACACAATTAGTCCACCTAGGTTGTCACTCAATTATCAAAACCAACAAGGACCTTTCATAGGGGGTGAATTTTGGGTGATGGCATGATGAGGTCAAAAATAGAGCCAAGATTTCAAGATTGTTGCTTATTCCTAGATCCTACTGTATTTTCCCTCTCTTTGCCTGCATGCAAAATGACAAACTGGAAATGCATTTTTTGGGTGTAGCATTAAGTTCATTTACATTTATTTGCATGTATGTTGTAATTAAGAAAGCAAATCGCACAGAAGTATGAGCTTTTGCTTTGCAGAGGAACAGCTACCTATCATGCTGGTAAAGTTAACATCACATCAGGTATACTAGCACTAATAAATACATGATAAAATAGATCAAGCAGCGACCTTGTCGAACATAACATTGAGATATATATATATATATATATATATATATATATATATATATATATATATATATATATATATATATTATATAAAGCAACTGATTACAGAATGTCTCAAAGTAGGATAGGAGGTGCATGCTGCTACATGCATATATAGAATTGATAATAAAACGCCAAAAGAAAATTATGCAGTAGTAGCACTTAGAATAGAACAGAGATAGCACGCCTTTGCCCCATCCAAACTGAAGTGGTCCATGAGGAACTTCTTGCACGCCTCCCTGAGCCTAGGGCAGCCATGTTTGTCTGCAAGGTCCAGTGTAGTGATGGCCATACGTGCATCGCTTATGTAGCTGCAGAGCATGTTGGGGCAGATCAACTTCAGCCTCTCCATGGCCATACTCAAGGTGACGATTGGGTGCAAACAACCTGTTGTGAAGAACAAATCAAAACATTGTTTTATTTGTTAAGGTACTACACACTGCAAACTTAGATTACCTTAGTCTTTTTATTTCCATGCACGTGCAACTTAATTTGGTTTTAGGCTGAAAGTTTGCCTTATTGAGTTTCATGTAGTTTCATATAGCTGTTCAGATATGCAGCCGGTGTGCCTCTTGTCCTGGTTCTGTACCCCACGCTCAAGATGTTGCAGATCTAAGATCTAAAATATGAAGAAGGGTGACCTTGGTATACCAGTCTGTATGAAGCAAACTGATAATTCAAAGAGATGATTAGTTCTACAAGGTTGAGGAATGAATTAATCTTGTTACGGTAATATGAACTTTTATGTGCATATGCACAAATATACAATAATATAAATGCATACTTTGATGATTGCAAACCATCAATGATAATTTTAGCCATGCACAAAATTCAATTTGTAATATTGACATTCCGAACATCACGCTCGCATTATCGTTTTTTGTAACGGTGTAACATGTTCATGCACAAATTATCATGGCATCATTTGTTCCCGTTGCAACGTATGAAAAGGTCTATACGGTAGAATTGGTGAGCCTGCGACGTCGCGCTCTCTGTGATTGTTAATTTCACAAACTTTGCTTTTTGGATTAAATGTTATTTTAACATCGGTATTTAATTTCACAATATTGCTATCTTATCGTGTGATCCGTGTGTTTTTATTACAAAAACTTTGTTGTCCCGTAGCAACGCCCGGCCATGCTACCTAGTGACTATTTATTTTCTGAGCGTCCAGCAAGGATCAATCACAGGCAGCGCAAAAAATATGTAAATGACAGATCATAATAATGTGTGGAGCCCAGGAGGAGAGGCGAACTCAAGGATGAAGCCGCGTCGGGTGGCGACCACGGCGGCAAGCAGCCACTGCGAGGCGGCAGGGGCCAGCTTCATGGACGTCGCCACCGTCCAACCCAGCACAGCACCGGCCATCGTTGAGGTTCCCTTTCGCGCCCGACCTGCCACAAGACCAGTGGGGACGACCGTGACGGAGGGGCCAAACCCTAGGCCGCCAAGGCCCACACCACAGGACCGCTGCCTTGCGTCACGAGGAGGAAGGGGCGTGGTGGTGGTGGTGGTGGTGGTGGTGGTGGTGGAGGAGGAGGAGGAGGAGGGAGGCCACTGCCGAGGCCGCCCCGCGCCGTCGTCGGTCGCGTCGCAACTTCGGGAGCGAGGGAGGGAGCGTACAGGAGACTGGGGAGGGGATGAGAAGTTTTCTGAAGAAGAATCAGGAGCTGGAGTATATATTTGTTCTACCGGATTCGCATGAGAAGCCGCAGAAACTAGCAAAACGAACCCAGAGCGACGAGGAGCCGGCAGAAGCAGATTCCAACAGAAGTAGCTACAAGTAATCTGGGCCACACGATGGAGGATCAGACGGCTGGAAACAATTCGGGTGACGTGGATGGCCTGAGCATCGGTTAAACTAAACCTGCATATACAGGACTGGTTTTAGAGAGTCTGCTGCAGCAAGTAAAGATTTTGAGTAGCTAAATTGATTTGGAGAGTCATTTTCTTTACTTTTCATTAGCTAAATTTAACTAGTCTCTTAGCGTGGTCGTCGGATCATCCACGTGGCACATATCTAACCGTTGGAGCCCCGCCACGACGAGCCACGACTCCAGGTCCAGGAGCTCGTGGCCGCTTTCTCTTCTTTCGCCTTTGCCCGAGAATAGCAACCCCCAACCTCGTTCACCTCAAAAAAAAAAAAAAAAAAGAAAGAAAGAAAAGAAACCTACAACAACAACTAGAATATCGCCGTCGCGTCGTCGTCGATCTCCCCGCCCCGCCCCGCCCCGCCCGCGCCGCGGAATCTGACCTCTCTCTTTCTCTCTCTCCGAGGACCGGGCGCCCTTACAGCCACGCCGCCACGCGAATCGCCGTCCCGAGCCCTCGCGGTCTCTCGTCTCCCCGTGCGAGAGGACGCCGGCGGCAGCGGCGGGCCAGTGCGGTGGCCGGGGGAAGACCGGAGGCTGCAGCAGGGCTTGCGCCCAGAGGTGGACGGCGGGCCTGTTCTCGGCGTCGCGTGGGCAGGTCCGCGGGGGAAGGCGAGTAGCCGCGGTGGGTGGTTCTTGCCCTCTTCTACCTGGTTGGAATTGAAGTTAGTTGTCCGGAACTTGGTCGATACGACTCAAACTTTGAAATCTTAGCTTAGAAACTTGTGTTCCAATGCTCAAAATCCTCTGTAATGCACTTGAAATTTACTGAACTTTGAATTTCACATGCCTTGCGTTTTCAACTTCCTTCCATATTTACTCGTAATGCCCCCTCACTTTGTGCTGCTAACAAACCCAATTGCAACCAAACGCCGCAATGCTCGCTCGCCTCAAATTCCCCAATTCCATCGAATTGAATTGCTCCTGTTATCATTTGGATCTTTGAGACTTCGCTTGTTCAACAACAATTTTGTGTAGTTTACTCTTCCTGGCCGACTAGATCGATAATTTCACTCTCACTCTCACTATGTGTTAATTCGGGAGCCAACCCTAGGGATTTGATTCCAACAATCTGCTTCTGCACCAATACCTGGACTCTACTTATGCACACATACATATAGAATTTTTCTTTTTGCACTATAATATGATAAATTTGGTGCTCCAAATCTGCAACTTCATGTTTGTTGTCCCATTTTCTGCAGGGAGGGACGAGTGAATAATCATGAGCTCGCTCTGCCCTTTCGCGGGAGTCACCACTGGTGGTGGCGTATGCCCTGTGAAATCTGATAAGAGCAACGCTGGGGTGCGCCCTGCAAAATCTGACAAGAGCATCAGTGGTGTATGCCCTGTCACTGGAAAGGATCATGGTAGCGAGCTCAAGGAGAGTAGTGATCATGGTGAAGAAAAGGGCACTGATCCTCGTATGGTGCCAGCAAAATGCCCATTTGGCTATGACTCCAACACGTTCAAGCTGGGTCCGCTCAGCTGCATTGTCTGCCAGGCACTGCTCCATGAAAGTAGCAAATGCAAGCCGTGCGCCCATAAATTCTGCAAGTGTGTCTCATGCCTCACATCCAGCTGAAGTGCACTTCATGTTTCATTCCTTGCTTCAATAGGTTCTTACTGGATTTACTTGGCAGGGCATGTATATCACGCTTTAAAGACTGCCCACTATGTGGTGCTGATATAGAGGGTATTGAGCCTGATGCCGAGCTTCAAGCTCTTGTTGACCGCTTCATTGATGGCCATGCCAGAATCAAGCGATCACATGCTACAGGGGATGCAGAAGCAGCAGGTGGCAAGAATAAAGTCATATATGAGGATGTCTCCATGGAGAGAGGAGCTTTTCTGGTGCAGCAAGCTATGAGGGTCAGTAATTAAATCAACTTCTTTAGCCTCCTATATTGAACACTAGATTCAAAATTTGCATAACTAATTATTCTCTGTTATTCATGGATCTATTTAAGATGTTGATGTTACAGCAATGCCCTACTGTTGCATCTCCAGGCTTTTCGGGCCCAGAACATTGAAAGTGCAAAATCAAGGCTTACTATGTGTGCGGATGACATCAGGGAGGAGTTGAAACCTTCAGAAGCTAACCTAGACCTATGTTCACAGCTTGGAGCTGTATTAGGAATGCTTGGGGACTGCTGGTATGTCTGTTCGCCCTTAGCTATTTCCCTTAAGAAGTTTTTTCCACTTCCGCAGACTAAGAAAATACTATGGCGAGTTAAACAGGATTAGAAAAAACAAAAGACACGTACTATTGTTTTAACACACCAGATCTTTCTACCATTTAGGTTTTTTTGCTACCCCTTCTATATCTAGGAGTGTGTTGGTCTAGGCTCTAAAAGAGTGCATTCTGGTATAAGGGAGCAAATATGTTTCTTTTCTGCAGATGTTACATTGATATTTTAACTGTATATTGAGCTAGGTTCCTGCGTAGTTGTGCTCATTCAAAGAGCAATTCTTCTTAGTTCTTTCATGTATCAGATTGTTCTAAGTTTTAACTACCTGAAATCTTTTCCATTTAAGAAAAGTAAAGTCTTACTGTTCCTTTTGCTTTCATGTATCTGATTGCTTTGATGTATCTGATATGTCTCTGAATCTGTGGTGATTTTATTTTTCTACTTATCATTAGTGAATGTTCACTCCATCACTGTTATAGTACCATGCCTCATTCAGTCATTCTCCGTATAATTATCTTGTGCTTCATTCAGTATTGATAAACATAATTTTGCTTATTTTGTTAATCATTTAATCATGGAACTCATTCGACACAGCATCCTTATCATTGTACTGTGTTTTCAGTCGGACCTTGGGAGATGTTCCCTCAGCAATCACTTACTATGAAGAAAGTGCTGAGTTCCTCTCGAAACCCCTTGCAAAAGATCTTGAGGTTATATTCAATTTTAGTGTAATTGTAATAACATTGAAAATACTGTATGTTGATTTATCTTTTACGTTCATCTGCAGCTGGTTCATACTCTCTCTGTTTCACTAAATAAAATTGGTGACCTTCGCTACTATGATGGCGATCTCCAATCTGCAAGAAACTACTATGCCCGTTCATTGGATGTTCGCAGAAATGCAGTAAAAGAACACTCTGCAGTGGCTTCTCAGGTACATTGTGGGGGACCTGTACTATTCTAACTCTTGGGTGATGCGGGACAGGAACGCTGTTGTCTTGCACTGCAAAGGTTTTTGTACTTATGGACAAGCACACCATGGAAATAGTACAATGCGAAGTATAATATGTGTGTGTGTTTGGGGGTGCGGGGGGGGTGCGGAGGGGTATGTGAAGGTGACAGCGACACCCAAACCCAAGGTTTGGGTAAGAGGGTGGATTTTGCGATACACTACACCCTATGTCAATCTTTATAGATTAGGCGCCTCATTGCCCTTAGCCAACCAGCTGACTTACTTGGTAACAAACTAAGAATACTACCCCCTCAGTTCCAAATTATGAATCGTTTTGGCTTTTATAAGTACATAGGTTTTGCTATGCATCTAGATATACGCTATGTCTAGATAAGCCAAAACGACTTATAACTTGGAATGGAGGGAGTAGCTATCTCTATTTGTACGGAAACCATAATCCTAAAGATCCTAATCACATGTGACTAGCTTGCAGGATAAAATTGATTAGTCATTGGTTTTGTCGACTTCAGACAAAGAAGTTCTGAAAGGGATAAGGATATGACTGTATTAATCTTGTTTGATCTGATTTTTTTTTTTGAAAAACATTGTACAAAAGACATCTAGCTTTAGCTTATACATTAACATGAACACGGATGTCTTATTTTTTGGCCTGATGCTGGCATTTGGACAAGACAAAACATTAAAAGATTCTGTGACTTTTTTTTCTCGAACGCGCAAGAGAGCTGCATATCATTATATTAAGAAGAAAAAAAGAGAAAAGAGTCCATACAAAGCCACACCATGACACCAACATACACCACTAGGATTTATAAAACAGAAAAGACTTGCCTTTTACATACAAAAGAAACGACCCCTACTAGAAATCAGTCCACATTCATCCCTTGGGCTAAGAGGGAGTTGACTCCTCGTGCCCCAGCAAGTTAGGAGAATCACCATAAAGGATATAGCGGTTGCGAAGATTCCACAAGGACCAGGCCCCTAATAAGATGATAATAGAGTTGAGACCCTTTCTTAAATGGTCAGCCAGCACATTAGAGCTTTTGTCCCACCAATCATCAAAAGAACAGTCATCAGGTTGGTGAGTGGGACTTCGCAAGCCAACCCGACTCAGGAATAAGAACCAAAATTCACGAGCAAAGACGCAGGTCGTCATTAGGTGGTTTATATCTTCTGGTCACACAGGGGCAGCAGGCCGGAGGTGGAAGACCTCTCCTTGCAAGCTGATCATCAGTCCAGCACTTATCACACACTACTAGACACATGAAGAAATGACATTTGCCGGGTGACCAAGATTTCCAAATTCTTTCATATGGACCAAATAGAACAGTACCCTGAAACATGCTTTCATAGGCCGATTTTGGTGAATAATGCCCATCACAAGAGAACCTCCAAACTTTTGAGTCTTCCACATCTGGCTGTAGAACAATTTCAGAGTGATGTCCCAAAGGGGAAGTATTCAGAAAAGAATTCAGCACTCAGCAGACAGGGCACCTCGAATGTAGTGCACCCAGGCATGATCACTCGATCAGTGAGAGCTTCAAGAACAGTCTGCCTGTTCTTCCTAGTGGAAACTAGGGCCAGAACTTGAGGGACAAGATCAGCAATGCTTTAGCCAAATATCCATCTGCCTGTCCAAGATAGGGTAGCAGCACCAGTACCAACCACAGAAACGACCACAATAGAGAAGAAGGCTTGGACATATTTTTGGACTGGTATATTGAAGACAGTCCAAGGACGATTAGGATATGTTCCAAAGCACGGGCACAGACCTAGATATCTATGTGCATTGAGTACCGATAAGTGACTTATATATACAGATAGCTACCTTAAGGATACAAAATTCTGCTCTCGTGTCACTCCTGACGGAGAAAATTTTCAACAGCCCTGCATTTATCTATAGTTTCAGTTCTTAAATAACATGTAGAGAAGATCAAATGCTGTAAGGTGCTTGTCACTAGATGTCATGCAGGCTGGTTGGCTAGCCATATGGACAAAGGAACACACTGGCAAGTATACATGGGAGGGAAGCACATGCACATATGACAGTGTAAGACATAATCTGCTGCTTCGCCAATCTCTCTTTTGTTTGGTTGCTTCAGATCGAGAGTGGCAGCTAGTCAGCCTGCAGATCAAGATTGGCAGCTAGTAGGAATGGCAGCTAGTCAGCCTGCTGTCCTCTTGCAGGTGCTGTAGCAAAATGGCAGTAAGCCATCTAGTCAAATTTGTACACGTAGTGGGCTGCTACCAGCCATGTCCTAGAGGACATAGGAGTAGTACACTTCGTACCTTATATGGTACTTGTAGTATGTACATATACTACACCAAAAGGCAATGGAAGTTAGTTCAGTTGCCACATTCAGTTTTCAGAGCTCTGGTTCAGAGCTGGTGCGTGTGCTGTGTGTGTGCTCTGCACTCAACTCCTTCTTCTACCTCTAGCCGTGGTGTGTGAGTGTGCTGGTAAGCTTGCTGCTTACCTGTGCAGTGATCCCAGGGACCAACAGGCAGGACGTTTAGTTAGAATGGAGGATTATCCGTGAAATGCTATGTGGAAGTGATGTGATAGGAAAGAGGGGAGCAACAAAACTAATGATCTGGGAAATTGGCGCAATAGTACTTTTACTGTTCTTCTGGAGAAAATGTTAGTCTGTCGTAATTGGATAGTAGCGAACTTTTTGTACTTTTCTGACCTATCCTTTCTGAACCTATGGTCTAAATCAATAATTTTCAGTCAAAATATACGAAAACTGCTGCTTCACTGCAGGTGTTTAGTCAAATCCTGTCCTTGCTAGGATTCAAATATGTCTCTTTTGGGTCAAGCTGCACTAGTTGAATTTGAATTTTTTTTTTTTTTTTTTTTTGGGGGGGGGGGGGGGGGGGGGGGCGTGGGGAGGTTGCACTTTTTTAGGCGAAACTTTTATTTTTTAGAATTGTTTTGTTTGAACAGACAAGCTTGATTTTAGCTGTCTCTGTTAGAGCTAAGCTGTTGCATAGAATGGTCACATGATTCAGAGCTATGGTATTTTAATTTGCAATATTTGGATACAGGTCATTGATCTAGCAACTTCTCTTGCCAAAGTCGCGGATGTGGATAGAAATCTTGGGAGTGAAAGTGCAGCAGTTGAGGGTTTTGAGGAAGCAATTCAATGCCTTGAGAGGTTGAAGCTGGATTCTGAACAAACTAGCCTGGAACAGCGGGTAGCTATTATTGATCCTCATTATTCCTCCTCAGCCTATATCTGTTTTTCTGAACTAACCTTTATCATGCACAATTGCAGCGCCTCTCGGTTCTTGACTTCCTACACAACCAACTGGCAGATAAATAAGTCATGGTCTTCTCCTAAGAATGCACCAACAACAGATGTCTTCTCATGGCAATGTCCAACTCCACTACTTAAGGTTCCCTTTGGAAGGAGTTGGCCTAGAAGCAGCGATCAGTATGTGTGTTTACCACCGTTTGAAACTTTTGTCACGGCACAAAATAAGTACTCCTGCACTGTAAATGTATCATATATATGCTGATCAAGTACTCTTGATGATTGCCGATATGGTTCTGTAGTCTAAGCACTCTAGCTTGTCAATGTCATGGCCTGGAGCAGCGCGTAAGATGTTGCTTGTGGGAAGTTCCATCTCGCATTACCGTGTCATGTGTGAACACTTATCCTGTTGTATAAGGCTGGGAGATGCCAATCAAAAGCATGGCCCATTGTTTCTTTTTTGAGAGAAGATTCCCGGGTCAAGCTGTTTGCATATTTTAGGTGCGTCCCTGGTAAATCTGGGTCAGGAATCCCAAAAGTCAGAAAGAATTCGTGCCTTGATCCATCCATGTATTTCTTGTGAGAGACGCTTGTTTGACTGGAAGGCCAGGTCTCGGCGTCTCGCCTGGCGATCGCAGATCTATCGCTGGTGCAAATTTGACTTGTGAAGAATGTAGTGGCGCACGTTTGTAAGTGTGTCCACTTTTTTCTTTCTTTTTTTGGTGCTCTTTTCTGCAAGCAGTCCGTGACGTGACTGGTTCAGGCTACAGTATATTGCAAGTGTTCGTCTGCAGGCTGTGTTGAATGTTTTGGAACTCACATATACTGATGTCTTCCATGGGCTGATTTATAGCTCGTTGAGATAACCTTCAATGTCGTTTTAGCTTGCAAATTAGTACCTGTAGTGTGCCTCTGCTGATGGTCACGTCGAGCAGGTAGGATCACTGGTCCTTCGTGGCATTAGTGCACTACAGTGGATAACGAGAGAGAGAGATAAGCACTCACTGAAGGCACACATGCATGGATGGTGACTGCACGTTCATAGTCCAGTCTTGGTGCAGTGCTTCTCCTTGCGGCGGCTACTCTGCTCAAATCACGTTCCACCATCTTCTAGTTCCAGTGGTGTTTTCTTCCACTTGGCGTGATGACCGATGCAGAGATGTGTCTTGTCCACTTGGTCGGTTTTACCTTTTCCTTTTTCTTACAGCAGAATTAGGACTGACCCATGACCATTTGAGATTTTTTTTAAGAAATAATCCATTCTGCGACGGTGGATTTTTTTTTTGGCAGCTGCTCAAAGAAAACTGGAGGATCAGATCTAATTAGCCTTACATCATCGTGCAGATCTGCAGACGTACGCAAGCAAGCAGGAAACATGTGTGCAGCTAGCTAGCTAGCTAGCAGACTTGGACCGGACTTTTCGCATCACTATTATTACAGTATAATAACAGCTTAAAAGGACAGCCGTGCGTGCGTGCGTGAGCTGAATCGAATAAAGTTTTTTTGGGGGCTTATTCAAAGATTTCTTTAAGCTTTTTCAACACACGTGTGGTCTTTGTTGAAATGGAATCATCATCACTCACGTATGCACCTACACGGCTGGCCGGGCCGTCCGTCACTCATATCATATGAAATGGAGCACGGGGGTACAAGATGAGGACCAAATTATATTTAAAATTCTCAATCGATTGTGTACTTAATAACCTTGCTTTTAGTTAGCTTGTTTTTGAACTAATAACTAGGTTAGCTTATCATTCATCATGCTTAAAAAAATCCGATGGAGCATCATGTTGTTCCTTGTACAATCCTGAATTTATTCACGTGTTGACACCCGTACGTGCGTCCGATCTAGTTGTTGGCTCTCGCTTTATCCTGAATGCGATGTGGCAGTGAGAAGCCTCCATCCATCTGATCCGCCAGTCAATACATATCGCCAAACCGTACCAGGCAAGCACGTTACACTCGCTCCTTTTGACTGGCATGCAAGTGTTGCTTGCCACTGCGCCCAACTCAACATATATCGTCGACGATTTAATTTTAATTTAATTTAATTAATTTACGAGGCCAGATATGTGTGTGCTCGGTTTGCACACGTACGTACCTGCAGCTGCAGGTCCTCTGGCTGGTTTTGTGTGAGGACCTCAACTACTCCAAAGCACTGTTAATAATGGATCGACAGGTTTTCAGTTAACAATGATTGGATGGTTTCTCTCTGATGATCGAGCTGCATACGTGTACGTACGTGGCCACATCATGGTGGCATATACGAGTATGCTTTGAGGGAAAGAAACGGAAGCTAAAGCTAGCTATGTACGTCGCCCGAGCGACCGGTGGATGGAAATCGAGCTCCACAGGATTCTTCTTCATCGTCCCATCGCCATCTCGGCTGTCCGTCGGAGTCGCCTTGGCACGTACACGTATCCAGGTGACAGATGGCAACCGCCACGTGCCAAGGCCAGGAATGGCCACGTGGCATCCTGTTACCACGTGCATATGTATGTAGTAGTATCATCTATATATGGAGGTGCACTTTGCTTATATTGTTAGTAAATTTTCTTCTAGAAGGAAAAACTACACAAACACCTTAAAACCTACAACTGTAGAGTATAGTTTTAGCTCTCAACTATATGTATGGAGCCTTTCATTTTTCAACACTAAACAATTAATTGTTAGTACAAATGTTTTTTTTTAACCTTGGCTCGTACTTGTTTTTGTTGGATATATCATTACGTACATGGCTGCGATTGATGACGACTAACCTGGGATACATTAATTTTGTCATTTTAAAGAGATGTAGAGTATTTTAAATTTGCATAGTATATTTAGTGGGTTATAGGTATATACATTATATATAGTATAGTAGGTTATAGGTATAGTTAAGTTTCAATTTGCAATTTTCCTTATCTTATTCATCAGAAAACAGCAGCCCCATGTAGCCACACTGTGGCCCATTACCTATCAGCTCACCTGACCACCCTCAACGACCCTTATGGCTTTAGGACCACATCCTAATCCCCTTTCCTTCCTCAATCTATCAACTTGGGAGGCAAAGTGCTAGAGTCGCGAGGCGGAACCCTAGCGACCGCCTAACCAAAAGCGGACGCTCGGCGAGCCCCAGACCACCCTAGAACCCTAGCGCGGTAACGCCCAATGGCGCAGACACATAGTGCTACAGTGTATCCACCGCTCCATCAACTTGGGCACTCGGCATGCGTGCAACCATAGCTTGGCTGTGGGCCGGCATCCATCCGACCAGGCGTGCTAGCGGTTAGTAGGGCACCTCAATCGCCACACACGCCACATGCCCACAAGGTAGTTGGAAGCTCTGAGCAGATCTGCATTCGATACCTTTCTTAACAAAATTTAGAGATATATCTCAAATTCATGCCTTTGCCTAATTTATGATATATGGACATACCCAACTTTAAAATCATGGATCCTGAACTAAAATATCGTCCTCCTCGATGAGAACCTATATATCTTGAGCAGGAAGACTCGCCACGCGTGTGTGCCGTGTGCGTGCTCGATGACTCGACGTAGGTACGCATCGGTGTGCGAGTGTGCACGAACAGACAAATGGGCGGCCATAGTCGGTGAGAATTTCTGGGACACATGAATAGACAACATGCATGCAGGGCAGCAAGTTGATGGCAACGTGCTCCTACCTAGCAAGCAAAGAATATGAATAGGAGCTTGTTTAGTTTCTCCCAAACTCCCAACTTTGGCACTATATAAAAAGAAAATTCTCCATCGCATCAAACTTACGGTACATGCATGGAATACTAAAAGTAGACGAAATTAAAAACTAATTGCACAGTTTGGTTGTACTTTGCGAGACGAACATTTTGAGCCTAATTAGTCAACGGTTGGACAATTATTTTCAAATACAAATGAAATGCTACAGTGACACTACAGTACATTTTGCCAACTTTGCACATTTTGACAACTAAATGAGGCCTAGACGTTGGCCCCTCACGTGTGTGCACGTGTGTTAATCATTGAAATGCATGCACGGCCTGTTCGCTTAAACTTATCAGTCGGTTTATTAGCTAAAATCTACAGTATTTTTCTTTCACAACAAATCAGCTTCAGCCGACTTTAATACCAGCCGAACAGGCCCCGTTGGTCATTCGAATCTTGGGTCCTGTCGAACCTATTAAAGTCAACGGTAGTGATTGTACTTGTACGTACTAACACTAGCCTCATATTGCACTGAAGTTACTATATATATGCACCTGCCAAACAAAGTTTTTCTTCCGTTCAGATTATTATTTCAGTTACTCATTAAATTCTCTCTCTACTGTTCATTTTCTTTGGTGACCAGCGTCTCTGCCTCCATCCCTAATTGTGTTTATGTAAGATACACTGATGATTAGTCCACAGGTATATGTGTATGAGCAACATATGCCATGAAGGTGAAAATAGCTCGGAGATGTTGCAAAGCTCACACATGTGATGATAAAGGAGCTTATTGCAAATGAGACATGACATTGAGTCATGTGATCAAGGTGGAGAAGATCAAGATAAGACTTGGCTTGATGGACCGGTTGCAAGCGTGAAGGGCAAGTCGAAGGCTTTGGAGCGATGGACCGTATGGCGGTGAAGCTTAAGCAAGACTTGGCGCCAATGGACGAAGGCAACGGTGAAAAGCAAGTGAAGTCAAGATCAATGAACCAATATGATCACGTGATGATATGAAATGGCTCATATCATTGTTAATCATGTTGGTGCATGTGTTGCATCGACATTGGAGGAGATGGAATGGAATGCGCAAGGCAAAGGTATAACCTAGGGCATTTCATTTCACCGGTCATAGGTGTGTAGAGAAGTTTATGACGGGGTTTAGGATAGATGGCCGTACTATCAAGAGGGGCAAACTTGTTTGCATATCGGTCATCTAGTGCCACCCGAGTGATCTAACTTTGCATCGTCGCTAGGATTGAGTGGCGTGGCAAGTTGAGTGGCTAATCCTTTAAAAAATAATTGTGAAAATGCTAACACACATACACATGGTGGTGTACATTTGATAGTGTTGGCACATTTACAAAGGAGGTGAAGTTGGAGTTGAT